GCAGGAAAAGTCTGGTTACTCCAGATGGCCAGTGTGTCTGATTGCACTCCACAGTCTGAGCTTATTATGACAAACATTGTAACAGTATCACAGAATGTGATACTAGTGTTAGAACCCCAGTCCCCAGCAAACCTGAGCAGCTTGAGCAATCTCAGTCCTTTATCTGAAGAAATACAATATAAATATTTTTGGTTTTCTAAAGAAGACATTCATAAGAATACAGAGGCACTCTGATTTAACACAGAATAAGTGTCTCTTCTGCACTCTGTAACCATACCCTCACAACATGCTGCTCTCTCAGCAGGTAAGATGGCTTTTTCTAACACAGGGGAATTAAAATTCTGGTAGATCACAGTAATGTGCAAGTATATTATATGGCGGACTAAATGAATTTCGGTAGTTGAACAAACTGAGTATTAAATATATTCCCAATAAGCAAAGTGGACTAAGAAAGTGGATCAGCTTACTTTGTATTAAAATATCCCTTTACTAAATCACCTGTCCCTTCTAGCTCTCCCACAGCAACAGCAGCGCGTTCGCTGCTGCCCTCCTCCTACATCTCTCTTTTCAGCTCTCTCTTCCTGACCCTCTCGTGCTGCTTTGGCTGTAACTGTTGAAGTCAATAAATATTCTAAATGAATCAGTTGAATTGCTAATCACATTGAACAGACTGATCAACTTGGTGTTTTTTGATATTCCCCTGTATTGAGGCGGCAAACATTCAGAGTCAGAGTTTAAGGATTAGCATTAACTTTATCCACTAGCAGAGCAGTCCATATACATCCATGCTTTGTACAGAGTGTGAATCACGGTAACAGTTGTATTCTAACATTCAAGCGCGTGCCGGGGGTGAGGCTCTAAGGACCCAAGCCCCTGCCCTTTTCCCAAGTTAATCAAAAGGTCCCCTCTCAACATTAATTATAAATAATTATGTTGTGGTCAGCATGAACATGCACAAAACAGTAGCAAATGCATCACACTAAATTCAAAGATTTTTCCTGTTTATTTCAGCTTAACCGCGGGTGCCAACAGCCTTCAGCCAGAGTGCATCATCTATGAGGAGAAGTTAGCGAACCACAACATGGTGCTAAGCAAGCTGAAGGGGCATCTGGAAACCAAACATCCCTTCTGCATTGAGAGAAATGTGGCCTAAGAGCACAAGATCTGCACCAGAGGCAACAAGGCTGTTTGTGTGATTGTGTGAAATTGTCTGATAAGGTGACGGAAGCAAGACATATACTAGCGGAGCTTATTATACGGTTTATATGCAAATTTGTTTTTATTCCCAGTGCATTTCTCTTCTTCGTTTGGTCTGTAAGGAGTGATTACATCTTGATGCTTCCCTCCCATGCCAGATCTAACCCTCCTCTCTCACTCACTCACTCATTTTATTTATCAAAAGTAAATAAAAATAAACATTTATAAACTGATAGTACATGGAATAGAGGATATTTTTCACAGATATGAATACAGGGGTGCCTTGAGATTTTGGCTTCCCTATTGGTGTGCCTTGGGCACAAAAAGTTTGAAAACCACTATTATACAGTATACACAATATACATATACAGAGTACACACATATACAGTAAACTGTCATTTAAATCTTATTAGAAAATGGTCAGACAGAAGAGGGCTTTGAGTCTTCAGTTTCAATGCCATGTGTCAGAACAAAATCAAGGGTAAAGCATATTTTTCCAAACGAAGTATTTTAGTACAATCAGCGGGTGATCGTTAACGTGTGAAGTGATTTTGGTGACATTACAGTATATGAACATTTTTCACAATGATTGAAACTCCAAACCAGAAAAAGTTGGGATGGTGTGTAAAATCTAAATTAAAACTGAAATGGTGTGTCCTGTATTACACTGAGAATACAGCAGCACATTATTTGATGGGATACATCATCAATTTTATTCTTTTGTCAAAATAAACACTCACTTCAATTGTGATGCCTGCAACACATTCCAAAAAAAAGTTGGGACAGTTGCATTTCAGAGCCAGTAATGAGGTAAAACAATGTTAAGGCAGAAGTGCTGCATTGAAGTACATACAATTGTACAGGCATACCTAATAAAGTGGCCGGTGAGTGTATAATTCTGTGCACTGCAGGTATTTCTCAGGAATAGCCCTTGGAAGTTGATCACGATGCTCGATTACAAAATGCATGACAAAAGAGTAGGAGAAACTGACCTTAGCCCATTGAAGAGTTGTTTGGACTTGTCCAAGAGATAGCAGAAATCAGTGACAGTCTTTCTTTCACTTAATGGAATATCATCCTCAGTCTCAGCTCCAGTCATGACACTGACTTTTCACACCTGATTACAAACAAAAGGAGAAATACTGCATGTAGACCCTGGAAAAGTAAATATATGTATAAAATACTAGCCAACTAGTTAAAAAAAATGTAAATACCATTTGTTCCAATGTGAGTTTTATTAATCTTAATCTAACAAGAAATACATTTCATTCAGCGTGTAAAAAGAACCCACTGATATTAGACATGCAGCTATCTACTGTTACCACAGAAATACTAACTGCCTGCAGGCAGATGTCTTATAAGTGGCCTACTTAAATATGAATAGAAATAAGAAGCCATGGAGAAAATGCGTCACATGGTCACTTTTTTAGATTGACCTGGGCTGTCCCAGATTTCACTCTCATATAGTGGTTGCAACCTCCAATGTGCAATCAGGTCAAGACAGCACAGAGTCAGGTCACAATGTTCAGCTAATGCTGTGCCTAGTTCAGTCATTTGCAACCAATGAAAAGCTGGTTCTGCCCTAGAAATGACTGACTATAGCTACTTGGATGTCTGTGTGTGCCTATACACTGTATGACGCAGAGAAGCTGTCATACCTTGGTCTAAAACCTACGGGTTACGTGTTGTGTTATCATTATAAAAAGGGACATAAACACCTGCGTGGCTTCTCAGTAACAAGTTCTCTTGCTCTAAACTGACAAAATATGCAGACATTTCCTTGCAAGATTGAATATCTGTCTATAAACATCCGGCAGTTTTCATTCAGTTTTAGAGAAAGGTCCCTTACGTCAAACGACAGGATGTTTACGGATGCAATGATTGGAGAAAAAACCCAAAACGTCAATGAGACAAAACAAGACGACAGCCTAAGTGAAGAACATCTAAGTGAAGGAAGTTTCTTGAAAGGCGTAAAAATCACGAGCACTCAAGATGAGAAGTTATAGCCTATTTAGCTAACTCGCCTGTAGTACGACCCAATGTTGACAGTTTAATGAACTCAGTTAACAATAATCGACCTAACCTGCTACTACTGAGAACAGTCTTAACTGGGCCGTATCCTATAACAAAGGTATTGCTCTTTTTTAACGTTATCAGACATCCATCATTCCGAACATCGTCAAATCTAACGCTGACCACACTGACGTGACAACAAAACCAACATATAACTACATAATAATGTCTAAATAACAAAGCGAAACAGTTGTAGTTTTTATGTCAGGTAACAGACAGCTCATCCAGCCTACATTCCTTCTTCTTACCTCGCCAGCCGGCTAGAGCTGGTGAAAGGAGTACCACGGCGATGCTGCTCAAAAATCTGTGCAAAAGCTACAACGGGCTGTGTTGGCCAGGCGCGACTTTCTGGGCATCTCACTGTGTGTGACTGACACGCATCCGCTGTGTAACGAGTCGTAGCCCACAGCAGCGGGGATAAGACTTGTCTCTATTGAAGCCTAGAAGCTTTACTCTGCCTGAAGGGTTGTTGTCCTGTGACAGAAGAGGCAGGGGGGGTGAAGACAACCGCTGGCTCCGCGCAACCACAACTGGCTAGCTACATCCGGGTCAACATTTTCAAAATAAAAGCTGCCCCACTAAAGCGCGCTTAAACACAGTAGGGTCCCTCTCTCTAAATACGCGACAGTGGTCAGTCCTGTTACAATGTGTGAACAATGATAAGTATGATATAAATATCATACCTATCAGTCAAGCTGCAGTATATTGGTAGAGCAATAATCAAACATTAATACAAAACGCCTGCAATTCATACATCTTAATATGCATTCATACATTTTAGACAAAAAGATTTATCCTGTTCTCTGAAGGATGCAGAGATAGTAGCTACAGAGATACAACTAAATTTAAGCCTCTACTACTTTAATCATTTAAACATACTATAGATATTACAACAACAATGTAAGCATTTAGGCCAGTAGTTCCAGCCTGTAATCATTTTGCCACTTCTAAAGGGTCACCCAATAAATCTAGAGAATGAGATGATTGATGTGAGGGGGAAAAAGGATGTTATGCTGCACAAATATGCTTTCATATTTTGGAAATAAGACAAATATTCCCAACTACACGCTGAGGTTTTTGTAAGAACCCACACTGTTTGGGGCCACATGTTTACTCTTCAACAGTGTGTTGTATTTCATATGACAATCATATGACTTTATGCAAAAATGTGAAAAATAAAGCTGCTATATACAGTAAATGTAGTGGAATAAAAAGTACAATTCCCTCTGAAAAATAGTGATAGTATAAAGCACCATAAAATGAAAACGAGTAGCTCAGAAATTGCATACACACTAAATGTGCTTTGCTACTATGCACCACTGAGTGGAACAGATTCAGTTGAGGTAGTAGAATTTCTGTTTGATGTACAGTATAAAAATAGGTCTAACAAATATACTGACACAATCTTAATCTCCAACATATATGAAATTAAATGAAAATATATTCTAATGTATAATACTAAGAACATGTACAAATCTGCTCTCATGACGACAAATGATTAAAACCTGCTGGGTTCAGATATAACAATTAAGGATTCAGATGAATATCCTCATGATGAGAATAAATGGTCTCATACTTGTATAGCACTGTTCTATGCAATGAACACACACACACACACTAATGGCACAGCCACCAGGAGCGACTTGATGATCAGTGTCTTGCCCAAGGACATTGACGTGAACTGGAGAAGCCAGGATTCAAACCACCAACCCTCTGGTTAGATGACCCACAGCCATCCAGTCTAGCTTCTAGCTTCCTCCAGCATTCTCCCATACCATCCTGATGACATCCTATTCATTTTAGCACACCAGAATGAGCCTTTTTTGTTGTTTTTAAGACAGTCATTCATGACTCAAGTGACTATTATTCAGAAGACTTCATGAATGTTTTATTCAAAACCACAAAAATGAGGAACGCCAACTAGACCCATTCTCTAGTACAAGTGAGCTGAACTATTCAAGAAAATGCACTTGCACTGTAAAATTTAAATGATATTCCTTATAAAAGCCACTGTTGCATTAGTTCATCACACTACAGACTCACTGACGAGGAAATGCAAAATTGAATGCCAGCTTAAGACACACACACTTGTGAACATTTATCATTAAAAATATATATCTGCAGTGGCCAGATACTCTCAAAAATAAATTAAAAAGTCTAAACATGTTGGTTAAAAATGACATATTTAAGGCAGAATGCTGTAGGATGGGCTCAGTAGATGTTTACACAGTATGTTCAAAGTCTTTGAATCAGAGCAGTCATTCAGTTTGCATCCCAATTCAAGAAAGTAACATGATACAACAACAAAACTACTCTTTTAACAAATAACCATGATAACAAAGTGCAATCATACAGTACTTAAAATATGTCACAAATCTGTATTATGGGCAACACTCAGTTTTGTTTTATTTGCTTCAGTAGGATATGAAACTTAACAATTCTATTATTTCATATTTAAATCTAAAATATCAAGAAGTGTAATTTTATCACTGGGAGAAAAAGGGATTTTTCTGTTATAACAGAACAAAGCAAGTATGGTGCAGCCTTGGAAGAAACCCTGTGCTACTCAAGACCTGAAAGAGCCATTAACATGTTGCATATAAATACAGACACGGACAAAATTGTTGGTACCCTTCTGTTAAACAAAGAGAAACTCACAATAGTCACTGAAATAACGTGAAAAACAAAAGTAATAATAAATAAAAATTTACTGAAAATTAACCAATGAAAATCGAAGAATTTTAAAAAAGAAACTAATGAAACTGGCCTAGACAAAAATGATGGTACCCCTAGAAAGGATTGGCTAAGAAGAAAACATTGGACTGTTCTGAAGTGGCCTTCTATGAGCCCTGATCTAAATCCTATTGAACATCTGTGGAAAGAGCTGAAACATGCAGTCTGGAGAAGGCATCCTTCAAACCTGAGACAGCTGGAACAGTTTGTTCACGAGGAGTGGGCCAAAATACCTGTCGACAGGTGCAGAAGTCTCATTGGGAGTTACAGAAATCGCTTGATTGCAATGATTGCCTCAAAAGGTTGTGCAACAAAATATTAAGTTAAGGGTACCTTCATGTTTGTCCAGGTCAGTTTCATTAGTTTGTTTTTTTTTAATTCTTCTGTTGAACCACAATTCAAAAGCAATGACTGATTGTCATTAGTTAATTTTCAGTAAATTTTTATATATTATTACTTTTGACAGTTTCACATTATTTCAGTGACCATTGTGAGTTTCTCTTTGTTTAACAGAAGGGTACCAACAATTTTGTCCATGTCTGTAAGTTTGACAGTTGAGCTCCACAGACGCGCAAATGAAGCATACAAAGAAAAGAACCCTGTACCTACTGTGAAACATGGAGGAAGCTCAGTTATGTTCTGGGGCTGCTTTGCTGTATCTGGCACAGGGTTTCTTGAATCTGTGCAGGGTACAATGAAATCTCAAGACTATCAAGGCATTCTGGAGCGAAATGTGCTGCCCATTGTCAGAAAGCTTGGTCTCAGTTGCAGGTTATAGGTCCTTCAACAGGATAATGACTCAAAACACACAGCTAAAAACACCCAAGAATGGTTAAGAAGAAAACATTGGACTGTTCTGAAGTGGCCTTCTATGAGCCCTGATCTAAATCCTATTAAACATCTGTGGAAAGAGCTGAAACATGCAGTCTGAAGAAGGCACCCTTCAAATCTGAGACAGCTGGAGCTTGTTTGCTCACAAGGAGTGGGCCAAAATACCTGTCAACAGGTGCAGAAGTCTCATTAGGAGTTGCAGAAGTCTCATTGGGAGTTACAAAAATTGCTTGATTGCAGTGATTGCCTCAAAATGTTGTGCAACAAAATATTAACTTAAGGGTACTGTTATTTTTGTCCAGGTCAGTTTCATTAGTTTGTTTTTTTTTAATTCTTCTGTTGAACCACAATTCAAAAGCAATGACTGATTGTCATTAGTTAATTTTCAGTAAATTTTTATATATTATTACTTTTGACAGTTTCACATTATTTCAGTGACCATTGTGAGTTTCTCTTTGTTTAACAGAAGGGTACCAACAATTTTGTCCATGTCTGTAAGTTTGACAGTTGAGCTCTCCAGAAGGTGGAGAGGCGAGAAAATGGAGAACTCATCAGAGGAAGTAGGGTGTGGTTGTTCGAGGAGGTATGACACGCTCGGAGTCAGGGACAGCACGGAACAGCTTGGGCTCTCGTCTGCTGACATCCCTGAAGACCATGATGGATGCAATGTTTCCACATCGGTAGCAGTAGTTGGGCGCTGACCACACGGTTACTAGCTTCTCGTCAAACATGAACTTGTAACCTTCATGAACTAGCTGATGTGCACGGCAGATGAGCTTCAGGTTGTTAATGTGGACAAACTAAAACATAAGTAAAATGAGCATTACTTTCATACAAGTGTAAAAGTATTTATTTTTGGTTCCCACAGGACAGTTTCAAAAGTGTTACACAACCCCCTTACCTCATTAGTAACCTTGGAGCCAAACAGCCACCCAGCACCTCGTGGACTGATAGCCCAAGTGTCCACATCCTCTGGGTCTGACCACACAAGGTCACAGAAAGCCCCCTTGTGGGGAATTTCCTGGTTGCGTTCAATGGTGCGGATCTGGTCCAAAGTCTTGATGTCAGGTGAAAGCCCACCGTGGACACACAGCACCTGCTCATCTATCAACTGGGGTTACAAAGTGAAAGATATTGGAAAAATAAGAGAAAAAAAAAAATCAAACAGCTGTAAAACTGTTACAAGAGATATGGCCTACGTTTCTGTAAAAGCTGGGTCAACAAATAAACAAGCCTACATCAGTAACACTCCAAAGTGGACGTTTGATAACCTCCTACATTGATACTACATACGGTTTACAGAGACCAGACAGTTTTTTCAGTTTTGTGCCATTTTATAGAAACAAAACACTTATAATTGTAACAATAGGAACTACTGTTATATAGGTTCGTTTCACACGGACTGTTATTGTCAAGGAAAAAACAGTAACGTTCCATGTTGGTTCTGAGAGACGAGTTGGGAAACAGACAGCACAATGTAAAGTGTACTATGGCCCATATGATATTCTTTTACGTAGCGCAGATACAATCAGCAGATTAATGAAAACAATCACAAGGTAAAACACAAAAACAGCTGCCTGCCCTAGCTAATGCTACTGCTAATGAAATGAAAATGCATGTCAAAGTTTTCTAACTTTGCTTTCTTTTCCCCAGTTAGTCAGATTTCATCTCTGTGCAGAGTTAATCTCAGATTAACAGGATTTGTCATCAGGACAGAGTTAAAAAGGACCAATCCAGTGGTTCTGTACATTTAAACCTCATCCTCTTGCCCTTTCCTTGTTTTGCCTCAGCACCGTTTCCTCCTCAGTGTGCTTAAACTGACACGCTACAACAGGTGTTCTGTAGACAGAGAAACTGTCTTGTTCACTGACATTTTGCTACAAAAATGTCACTGCTTTGCAGCATTGCTTTGTTTACCAGCTACTATGCAGGTCTCCCTGCCATGTTTATCCACTGAGAACGCATGTCTAAGTTCCATGTAGTGTGTTTGTGCTGCTGTGTAGTCAAAACTGGCTTCCACTCTTATGTCAGCACAATAATCTTAAATAGGACGTTCAATAGGAATTTTTATGACACTTATGGTTAATAGTTGTTTGTATTTCCTGAGGGGCTTCCAAACATTTCATCTTAGGAAATGCTATTCTAGTTGGCACCTAAATGATGAGGCTGTCTTCAAACATTTATCATGTGAATGCACAAACAGGAAGGATTCACAGATAACCATTTAAATGCAAATAAAACTCTAAAATTAAGAACATTTAATGAAAACCAGAGCAGATGGAGCTTTCATTATGATGTGTTAGCTCTTTTGATTTTGAAGACATGCTGAAATGAACTGAAACAAATTGGCCCAAGGAAGGTAAGAAAACCTATCAGTAGTGTGCGCTGTCAGATGACTGAGCAAATACACTGGTAAAATATTTTAAGAACAATCATTGCTTTGAGGGAACTGCTAACGATAAGGATAAGCATAATCACCTTTACTGGCCAACTATGTTACACACAAGGAGTTTGTTTCCGGTACAGAACCGATGGCAGCCATCTGTGGTGCCAACTCAACCGATGGCTCTAACCATCGGGGGGGTTCAGTGTCTTGCCCAAGGACACTTCGACATGTGGACTGGAGGCACCGAGATTAAAACCTTCAACCTTTCGGTTGGAAGACGACTGCTCTACCCACCGCATCACTGCCGCCTCCCCCATAACATATCATACAAATGATCAAAAATTCACATTACACACAGAAAAAAGGCAAATCAGGCAAATGTCAAGTAAAAAAAAAAAAAAGAGCCACGAGTGAACTTACAGCTGCCACAGTCAGCATGTCAAACACTTTTGTGCAGTACCGCCAGGCATTTGCATTTCCATATTTAGTTTGACACTCATCTATAAAATAAGCAGAACATTCATAGTAATGGCTTTATGAGCTTGTAAAACAGAAGACATTTGCATTCATAGATAAACAGTAAATAGCATGTTACCCACCATAAAAGCCGTAGACTTGAGTTATTTGTCTGCTTTCGTGGTTTCCACGTAGAAGAGTGATACGATCAGGCCACTTTGCTTTTAATGCTAGTAGGTGTGTAAACGTCTCCAAGCTATAATATCCTCTATCTACAAAATCTCCCTAAAAGAAGAAAGAACACACCTCACTCAGTTGTTTTCAGGATACAGTACATCTTACTACTGTATACAAACAGTCTTGATACAGAATATATAAACTGTAGTTACTTTGAACCTGTTTGCAACATGTAATGTTTTCTTGCCGGTTTGTGTGCTGTGCTTGATTAATCAGTCAAAGATGTGGGGCATTAAAAATCTTGTGAAACGTGTGAAACTGTGCTACTAGATATTCAGGAGTATGCACCAAAGTAGGCTACAGGGGGAGGGTCACTGGAATACATATACTGTATGTAGTTCAGTTATGAAATTGGTTGGCTACAAGGATATTTATTTTGGTAAATAAAATCAGTGGATGTTGATCAAAAGACTGTCTTGCACCTATGGCTGGTGAGTATCTTAGACATGTTAGTGGGATGGCGTTAGCGATGACAAGGTCATTGTAGTGTAAAAACAGCCCACTTGCAATTGGTGTAGGTTCTTCCCTCAGAGAGAATCTTTAGTCGAGTACAGACATTGACTGCAAAGAGCACACAGATCCAAGAACAGACGAGTCTTATTTTGGCTGGCCATCAAGTTACTAATAGAATTAGTATTAAGTAGCAACAGCTAATCTGCCACCAGCGATTATCTGCTATTTTAACTGGTGAAAGTAGTATTAGCACCGTAACACTGGCTAAAGATGAGAAGCTTTGACATCAATGTTTTGTACACTACTACTCTTTGTCATTGAGAGCCAGAGCTTTGCAAATCTGTATATTTTCCCAAGTCTGGAAAAAAAAAGCTCAGAATCAATCACATTGTTTGTTAGTAAACTGTCAGATGTTGCAGAGACTGCCATAAAATATGGTTCAGACATTCATATTCCCTTTAGGAAGAGTTGGAAATAATGATGATCATCTGACTTTTCATCAAGTGCCATTATCAGATCCAAATTTCACATTTCCATGTGTTTACTGCTAATTAGTAAATGCTAGTAAGCCACGATGAATACGGTAAATATTATACTGGAACATACTGCACACTAAGTATAATGCAGCAGATTAGTGAACATGCAGGACGGTCATTGTAGCACGCTGACTAACATTTAGCTCTGAGCAGCTGTGTACTCAAAAATTCAGCAGATTACCCTGTTTTTGCAGTTCTGTACAGTATATGAGTTACTGGAAGCTATCTTATTATGTTTTTGATATTCAAAATATAACCATGTCTAGTAATTTTATGTCGGATGGACCAAACATTTGTAAGAACATGGAAATAGATTTAAAAAATTGCAAGACTAAAATGCACAGACCCCTAATGCAGCGTGACTGTGACAACAGTGGGACAGAAGTCATGGGTTTTCATAATACAATTGTGTATTATGGACAGAGTTATACCATTTGTAGATTCTGCTATTTGCAATAAATGATGTGTACTCGTAATTTATGGCAAGATCGTCACCTATGATACAGTACAAAATGTGTAAATGAGGGGGAAAACACTGCTAAAATGAGATTATTCAAAAGATTTGCTTCCTCACTTTTTATTCTTCATTGCATTTTGAGGAATATTCATTCCTATAAATCAGCATGGAAGTTAACCAAATGAAAAATAAGCCATGACTAACACCATATGTATTATTCTGGTATATTTAATTCTGTTACAACTTCTGTAGATAAAGAAAACTTCCTCACTTACCATAAAAATGTAATTTGTGTCTGGAACTTGTCCTCCCGTTCTGAAGAGCTCACAAAGATCATAAAACTAGACAGGAACATTCAAGAGAATTCTTAATATTAATTGTTCTTCAATTAGTATTAGCATTGTAATGAAATCAAGTCATGTTTTATTTAAGCTGGCAGCATAATGTATTTGCTTAGAGTGAGCAGAAAAGAAAAGAGCAGCTTAATTTATCAATAATTATACAATGAAATTCATGGCTATATTAATCTCTTCCATATTGTGATGCCATTTATAAATCATATGGCCTTGGTCTGCTACAGCTTTCATTACAAGCAACAGACAAACCAGTAATCTCATTTTATAAGAATCAGCTAAATTTAGGTAGTAAGTCAAGTTAATTAGCTTCCATGGAGAGGTTAGAACAAGACATCACTTAGGCCTACCTGACCGTGAATATCTCCACAAACAGTTACCGGGGTAGAGACTGGCTGAACATTTGATTCTTCCAGGAGCAAATCACAAACATAATCACATAATCTCTGAAAAAGTAAAGCATAACAGGTAGTGTTCACAGCCATCCTGTCACCATACAGCATCATATAGAAGGGCAATATTGCAAGTTGACTGGTCAGGTATTTACTCCATGACAACAGTTTTGGGAGGCCAGAAAGTCAGTGTAACGTTGTAATGTTACAGTTCTCCTTATCAGGGCCAAGTCACCCAGACCAGCACCCGCACCAGGGGCCTGGCACTGGGTTTGGTTGCACCTTAAGGTGCTAATTTGTTTACACTAACCCAATGCTTGAAAGTTAATTTTATATAATGAATACTGCAGAAATGGGAAGGAAATACAAGTAACTGCAATTATTGTTGGTTCTTGATTATAACGCGATAACTATAAAGCACAATAAAGTAGAAGTACATAGATACAAGTATAAAATAAAAGCGAAATATCATTGCTGACTACTAGCTAGATGAGACCTTAGCAGACATGGTCACGTTGAAGATGAGGATCACATACAAATTTAGCTCTATGACTTTTAGTAGTTGAGTCTGGCCTCAACATTAGGGTATCATTGTTCCCCCAAAACAAACGTTTTTAGTTTAGTTTTTCTCCTAAATGTAAGAGCCAGGTAGCAACAGTGGGTAACGACACAGCTTCGGATAAAGACTGCTGATCAAACGCCATAGGCTTCTGTCGGGTCTGCAGTGGTTCCTGTGTTTCCCACTGTGAGAAACATCTAACTCTTAGCTTGTAGCAATGGGTTAGTTCAGCATTACAACTTCCTCTATGACACTCCCTTTCCACTTTTTGACTCGATGGTCTCCGTTTTCGGCGACGCTAATAAAATGTGAATGAAAACAAATAATAAACCCACGTCCGAGTAACAATTAGCTACATTTGTTGAACAAAATTCGCATACTCACACGGTTAGCTTCCACTGATATCAAAAAACATTCATTTCATCGACTTAAACTCACCTTCAGATCATTTTCCGGCAGGTATTTGCAGTCCCTTGTTATTTCAACATATCTATCAAGGTCTAAAGGAGCCATCGTCAGGACGCTAAAATCAAGGGCTCGCTAAGAAACTATTTACCAAGCTAACGTTAGCGAGTTTCCTCTGATCTTCTTCTTTACCTTTTAGGTGCAGTTGTCAAGTTACTTAAATAAAGCTAATCACATCCTGTAAGAACCTTCAAAATAAGCGTCCTTGCCGCCAACAGTCTTCTATTACTGTAACCACCAAAAGTAAGTTGGTAAGGTCTGAGATATAAAGATGTATATTTCATTTATATATTTCAACTCACCATTTTGGAAAATGTTCTGAAAAATGCCAGCAGCTGTTTTTACACCTTTATTTCGAAGGTAACATTAGAGTGGCATTATCTCCAGTCAACTTGATGTTGTCTTCAATTCCGTTTGTTGTGCCGTGTATACGCAACAGCGCCCCCTAGTGATACAACTGTATCTCCCACAGTATGGGCGACGTTTGTCTCAGGTGCATTTGCAATCTTAACATTTACAAAAAACAGTAAGTGCATTTCTCGAAAAAGCACCACACAATGGATTAGCTGCAAAAGTCTGTAACTTGCTCAAAATCGTGAGTTAAAAAGAAAAAGGTGTAATAGAAATGAATAGAAATATGCCTGGCAGATCACATTTGCAATGAACTAATGCATACATGTTTTGGGAGGTACATTATTCAACAAATAACCAGTATAATACATTTTGATCAGCATGACAAGCAAGTGATAATGTAGGAAACAACAGACAATTGTACATAATTATTTGCATGAATGTGCCACAGCATTTACAATTTGCTCAAAAGAATGAGAAATTGCATCTATGATGTGCACAGGTGACTAAACCATGCAGAGGCTGAACAAATCATTTTGATCAGTTAATTTCTGTGACAGACAAAAAAAAACTGTAATAAATGTAAACATACCCCTGGAGCTATATTCACATTTATTTATTTATATATTTAACTAGGTTTTGTTTTGTTTTCTCTTCTTTTACAAAGTCTAAGTTTGTCAGTTTGTCTATACTACAACTCCAAATCAGAAAAAGTGACTGCTTATTTTGAACAAAGAATAAAATTGATGAGGTATCACATCAAATAATGTGTTACTATATTGGTTTCAATGTTATACATGACACAGATGATTTACACATCACTATACTATTTTCAGTTTAAAAAGAAAATTCAATATTTTGGCCCACACAGCAGGA